ATCCAAGCAGGTAGTTGGTACAGGTAGATCAGTCTACATTAGTCTGCCTACGAGTAACTCTTCTCTGTTCTATGACCTGGGTCCTTTGCTCCCCCATCCTGGTTTTTGTTTGTTTGTTTGTTTTTTATTGAGCTTCCATATGATTGAATTTGATCTCCTCTCTTAGCATATCAGTTATATTTCTTTTTAAGTTTTGTGAGTTGCCCCAGATTTTTTTCAATGTAGATTGTAACTAATTTGTGTCCTTTTTCAAATAACATTGTATCGCTTCGCACTTAGTGTGGTTACATTGTAGCGGGGCACCCCTGGGCTGAGCCCTGCCTTTGTGACATGCTGTCATTCATTCCACATGTCCTTATGTTATAATAAACCCATACATTATTTTTCTTTTATACCATTTTATGTCAATTATAAATAGAAAATTAAATATTTTATTTTACTTCTACTTATTTTTTTCTTTGATGTATTTTGTTCTTTGGGGATGAGTTTCTGACCTATATCATTTTTCCTTGGCCTGATAAACTGCCTTGAACTTTTCCTTCAGAAAGGGTCTGTTGGTGACATTGAATTCCTTAAATTTATTTGTCTTGGAAAGTGTGTTTTTCTCCTTCTCTTATATGAGATGATTTTGCTGAATATAGAATTCAAGTTTGATGGATTTTTTTACACGCATTTCACTGCACCGTCTTTCTGAGTCCGTAGATTCTGATGAGAAGGGTGCTGTGCTTATCTCTGTCACAGCTGAGGGGCCACCGTCCCACCCTCCACCCTGACTTCCTCCTAGATTCCATTGCCGTCTCTCGTTTCCTGCAGTGTGAGTGTGGTAGCTACGTGCCCTTTTTCTGGGACTTATGCTGTTGCTGGTCTCTGAGCTTCCTGGATCTGTGGTTTAGTTTCTACCATTAATTTTTGAAAGTTTTCTGCCATTAGGACTTCAGATATTTTTTCCTGTGTCTTTCTAATATTTCTAATATTAGAAATTCCCCGTTCTAATATTACAATTATGCATATTATGTACATTTTGAATGAAGGCTTAAAAGTTTGTGAAAAGATCCAATAATTAGGTAAAGTAACTTTCGTAAAGGGATTTTTTTAAAAGATGATATTCTATTTTTGAATGAATAAACGTAAACTCCAAGGACGTAAATAAAATACTATCATAAGTTTCTTTGGGGTTGATGGAACATGGAATTCACAGAGTGAGATTTTCCTTACCCATTAGGGTAGGGTTGGAAATTGTGCTGAAAAGCCTCAATTAGGGAGAAATACGATCTGTCTGAAACATAAGAAAAGTTGCACAGAATGTTCCAGGCACCGGGATATGCAATGATCCAGTGAAAGAGGAAAGCGTTAGATAAGAGGGTCTACAAGATTAGCTGGGAAGAAATGGACATTTTCTTCTATTTACTCATTTATATTTTTGTTTGTTTGTTTGTTTGGTTGGTTCCTCACTTTATATCATTCTCCGTCTTAAAAATTATTTATTGAGTCCTGTGTGTGAGACACTGTGTTACACACTGGGAAACCAAAGATGAAATAGGACTCAGCCTTGGTTCTGTAAGGTTCCTTGTCCAGTGGGGGTGGGTGGGTGCAAAGACTTTGATGCTATGATGAGTGAACATACTAATAGGTATATAGACAGCACATATGGGAGTGGAGAAGCATCTAATCTGATAGCTCCAAGAACTATGTTCTGTAGTCTGAACGTTTATGTCCCTTGAAATATCCTATATGGAACCCTAATTCCCAAGGTGATGATGTTAGGACGTGGCCTTTGGGAGGAGATAAGGTCATTAGAGCGAATCTTACTAATGGCGTTACTGCCTTTATAGACAAGCCCAAGAGACTTACCGTGTTTCCCCGAAAATAAGACCTACAAATCAAATAAGCCCTAGCAGGATTTCTAAGCATTTGTGCAATAGAAGCCCTACCCTGAAAATAAGACCTAGTGATGGGCATGGCTACACAGCGCATCTGCACAACCCATGCATTTCGTCACGGAGCAGTAAAGAAGGTGAGCATCCCTTCTCATCTGCCCCATGAGAGCTCTGTTGCTCAACAGAAGAGATTGGGGCCAACAGTTCTAAAGGAAATAGAGTCGCAAGAAATTCAGGATGGGATTCGGGGTTTGGAGAGTTAGGATGATGTTCCAGAAGAAGACGACTTAACTCTATTTGAATCAATGTAGATTGTTGTGCCGTACTTAAAAAAAATAACACATCCCCTGAAAATAAGCCCTAGGGTGTCTTCTTGAGGAAAAATCAATATAAGACTCTGTCTTATTTTCGAGGAAACTCGGTGTATCTCCTCCTTGCACCACATGAGGCCACGATGAGAAGACATCTCCTATGAGCCAGAGCTCAGCCCTCACCAGACATGGCATCTGCCAGAGCCTTGATCTTGGACTGCCCAGCCTCCAGAACCATAATAAATAAACTGCTATTATTATAACCTGCCCAGTTTATGCTATTCTTTTATAGCAGGCCAAATGGACTAAGACACTATGTCTTCAAGTTTCTTAATCATTTTTCCCCATTATGTCTAATCTGTTATAAACATAGCTAGTTTATTTCTCCCTCAGAAACGTCAGTTTTCATCTCTAGAAGTTTGATTTGGGACATTTTATATCTTTCATGTTTCTAGGATCTTTAACTTATAAAAAACAGTTATAAAACTGTTGTAATGTCCTTACCTACTAATGTCCTTACCTACCAGGGTTATTTCCAGGTTAGTTTTGAGAGATTGGTTGTTCTTTTCAATATGGTTTATATTTTCCTACCTTTTCTATAACCCATGAGACATTTGTATTCCAGAAATTATGCACTTTACCTTGTTCATATTGGATATTTTTATATTCCAAAAAATATTCTAGAGCTTTGTTCTGGGATGCAGCTAAGAAACTTAGAAAAGATTTGCCCCCACCAGGTTTTGCTGTTAAGCTTTGATAGTTAGGACTAGAGCGGTATTTAGTCAAGAGCTAATTTTCCCCACTACTGAGGCAAGACTCCTCTGAGTAAACTCTCTGCAAGTATTAAGCTCAGGCAACTAAAGGGCTCACCTCATTTCTTCCCATCTCTCAGGGACCACTGCCCTTCACTGCTTGATTTCTAATAATTTGAATGTTGTGGCTTCATGCAGTTAGTGTTTTAGTTATTTCAAGCAAAAAGTAAATCTGGTCCCTGTTAACTCATCTTAGCTGAAGAAGACTCATGCTTGTGCATTTCTGAGGGTAGAAAATTTGAAATATAATTCTAACATAAGATCATTATGTTGTCTATGACAAGAGGCAGTAAACATACCTGAGATCAGAAGCACTGTTTCATTTAGAATAATGGTAAAATTTTAGATTCTATTATGACTCAAAGTTTTGAAAAGGTTATTTTTTTTCTATCAGATGCATGATAAAGATTTATCTAGGCATATTTATATTAGAAATAAGTATTATTTATGTTCTTATTGAGTAACTCTTTATAGCCTACACAATGTTAGGCTTATAAAGTACATATATTAGCATTTTTTAATTTAACCCTCATATAACATATGCAAATTGTGTTATTATTCCAAAATAAAGTAGAAGGAAAGGTATAATTTGGGTAAAGAAAATGGCACAATTAAAATGGTTGTGTAGTGAGTAGATAATCTTGGATGTAAACCTATCATACATATCTCTGAATTTACTTTTCTTTTGCTAAAACATTATGTTTTATACATATATTTTTCTTTCACAACTTTATTTTAAAATAAAAATTAGTTTGATTAATAAAAATGTTACCTTTCCCCATGATGTTTTACATTAAACTTAAGATGTGAAGCTTGAGTTATTTTATTTTATTGTATTTCTCAAATAAAAGCATTAACAACCTTATGATATAATTACAGATCATACCTATAAAGCTTCATTGAAGGAACCACAAAGGGAACATTTAAGTTAATAACCCATGGTTAGTATTTGAAAGAGAAACTATTAAGATTCAAGCTCAATGATAAAGCATCCCTGCTTCAGTAAAAGTTCTAAGAGAAAATTATGAGTCCAAACTCCTAAGGAGATTATACTGCTATAGATTGGAACATAAATGCCCAGGAAGACAGATGATGAATACCCTTTAAAGTTCGTGAATCTTTAAATGCAAGCTGGAAAAATAAGCCTGCATTGAATTTTTATGACATTCTGTGCTCACTGGGTATAAGAAAGCACAAAATCGATACATTTTTTACACAGTATCCAGTTATTATTGTAATTTCTAGTTAGAACTTGGTAATTAAATAAAGTGCTTTTTTGTTTCTAAGCCATTTGGAAAAATTGTTTTAAAAACCCTATGCAGATACTGATTTAGACAAATAGTCACCACACACATAATCTTTTATACTACATCATTAGTTTCTCCATTTGCAAAATTAATAGAGACTAAGATGAATACTAATTTAAACATATTTGGTGGAAAACCATTTATCCCTCCATTGAAATATGATTAATAATTATCATACGTAATGTCTAAATACAATCTAATGAGCCTGAAAACACTAAGTTGAACAAACATATTAGCCCTGTGGCATGAGTCAGGTAGGGCTCTTTAGATCCAATCATTTCCCCATAACATATGCAGAAGCAATGGAGTTTCATGCCTGCACTAAGACAAAACACTTTCCTTATTCTATTTCTATTTCTTTAGACAGCAGCCACTGATGCAAGTTCAAAAATTTTGGTTGAACAGTAACTTTTTTTATTCCGCGTGGAAATGTGGTAATGGTTTAACGGGAGGGAATCTCATCATGAGGGTTGTTTAGAAAGAAGATAGAAAGTGCAAGTCTTCCAAACCTTGGTCAAGAGTTGTCTGCAGGTAAGTCTCATTCACGATCCTTAAAACAAAAACCATCCTTTTCTTCTTAGAATGATTATGCTTTTTATTAATCCCCCTAAATTTGTAAGTAATTGTATTTGGCATAGAGACACCAGGCTAGCAGGATAATCACTTTTCATTTTCATCTCTCTACATGTACAGGAGCAAACCATCTGGAGGAAGAGCTGGAATGAAGCCAGTTGGGTCTGCT